CTCAGAAGCAAGAAAGGCCTTTCCCAGGACTTTCTTGGTACATCACTTTGTTGCTCAAAATTGGCAATATGACCTCTGCGTTAATAAGAAAATATTAGATTCACATGTTATTATCTGACAGTAGGTTAATGTGAAAAATACTGTATTATGAAAAATGTATTTCACAATATTCTAACAGATGCTGCTAGTATAATAGCCTAATGTAGCAAATGCACCAAATGTGCTTGAGCATGTTTTTGACACTATTTTCATAAGTGATGATATATCCTAATTGAAACTTACTAAAATTATGTTTTCTCCTCCAACTGTCATGAAAACATACCAAACTGTGTGTTTTGTGTACCCATGATTTAGGAATATAAGATGTATATTCCTTTTGGCTTTCTCCTCTGTGATTTAGAGTTAGATTTGAAAATACGAGATTTTATCCCTCCGAATACTAGTCCAGTGAGTTAATTCACTTCCCAGGTATGCATTAATTATCCTTAATCACTTATAAAGCCAACCGTAGACTTGAAGATTTGTATAAAACATTTTTAGATTTTTTTAAATTTGAAAAATCTGCATCTAAAATGTTTTAAATCTAGAAACCCATTATAGAAAATAGTGTTATCTTTTTTTGAACTTGTGGAGTTAATTCCCTTAGGAATCTGAAGAGAAAGTTCTAAATATTTATTTTTATCACCATACATTAATTTGTGTATATATTGTGTCCTTGTATTATGTAATTCTTTCATTAAGCCTTTTATCTTTTGAAATTCAACACACATTAGAAAAATATGAAAAACAGGGGCACCTGGGCGGCTCAGTCGGTTAAGGATCTGCCTTCAGCTCAGGTCATGATCTCAGGGTCCTGGGATCAAGCTGCTTCTCCCTCCCCTTTGCCATTTCCCCTGCTTGTACGTGCGCTCCCTCTCAAATAAATCAATAAAATATTTTTTTTAAAAAAGTATGAAAAACAAAAATGTACAACCCATGTAAACTGCAATCCAGGTCAAGAAGTAAATGTTACCAGTACCCCCAGATAACCCCATCATCCCCTTCCCAATCACTGTACCTTCTCTCCCCACCCCTAGAGTTAACCACAATTTTGACTTTTACATTGATCACTTTCTTGCTCCTATTCATGCATTTGAAATACTATGGTTTAGTTTTATCTGGTCTTTGGTTTTTTGTTTTGTTTTTTTGTTGTTGTTGTTGTGGTTGCTGTCTTTGAAATTTACACAAATGGAGTTAATACAGCCAAGTATCTTTTTAGGTTCAACATTTTTCACTCGAAGTTCTGTTTGTAAATGTAGTTATAATTAGTTTTCATTGCTGTGGAATGTGTACAGTATTGTTGCTGTATTATATGAACTCACCACAAATTATCCATTCTGCTGTTTGGGGCTCTTGGGAACAATGCTGCTATGGACATTCTTTCGTATATCTTTAGATATGACATATCACATATTTCTGATGGGTGTATGTTGGCAGGTCATAAGGTATATGTGTTTTTAACCTTTTTAAAAGCCATGTTTCTTTACCACCAGAGGGCTCTTTCAAGTTCCCATTGCTCTGTGTCCTAGCCACACTATTATTTCAACCTCTCTGTTGTATAGGGATACCTCATGGTTTTCATTTCCATTTCCCTCATTACTAATAAAGTTGAACAACATTTCATATATTCATTGGCTATTCTGTAAAGTTGCTGTTCAAGTGTCTGGCTCTTTTTATACTGTGTTGTCTTTTTATTATTTGATTTATAAGTGTTCTTTGCATATTCTGGATTTGAGCTGATTGTGCAGTGTATGTGTTGTAGACCTCTCTCACACCTGGTTGTTTGCCTTTTCACAATCCTAAAAGATTCTGCTGAAGCTCAGAAACGCTTAATTTTAACATTTTCAGATGCATCAAGATTTCCTTTATGATTCTGTCCTCTATAGGAAGTCTTTCCCTACCCTGAGATCATGAATATAATCCCCTATGTTAACATATGGATTTATCATTTTGCTTTTCGTACTTAAATTCACAATTGACTTTTTGGTATGTTTTGAGGTAGGGGTTAATTTTCATTTATTTCTGGGTGGATAATCAATTGTCTTAACACTATTCATTAAAAAGATGATCCTTTCCCCACTGCTTTGTAGTTCCACCCTTGTTGTAAATTAAGTGTCTGTTATGCCTTGGTTAATTTGTGGGCTTTCTATTCTGTTAGTGTATTTTACATTGTTTTTGTCACATAATCTTAAATAATGTAGCTTTATGATAAATTTTGATACTCAGTAGAACAGGGCATTCTACTGTATTAATTTTTATTTTATTATTTTATTGTGGTAAGAACATTTAACATGTCTACCCTTTAACAAATGTCTAAGTGTACAATACAATATCGTTAATTATAGGCACTACATTGTACAGCAGATCTCTAGAACTTATTTATCTTGGATACTGTAACTATCTGCTCATTGAGCAGCAACTCCCCATTTTCCCTCCCTCACCCTTTGACCACCGACATTCTGTTCTCTGCTTCTGTGGTTGTGACTATTTGACATAGTTCATATAAGTAGAATCATGCAGTATTTGTCTGTGTCTGGCTTATCTCACTCAGCATCACGTCCTCTAGGTTCATCCATGTTGTCACATTTCCTTCTTTTCTAAGGCTGAATAATACTGCGTTGTATGTATAGACCGCAAGCACTTCAGGACTAGCTTGTCAGGCTCCACAAAGAAACCTGTTGAGATTTCAACTGTTACTGCATTTCATCTGTAGATCAGTTTAGAGATGATATTACAGAATTGGGCTTTCTGATACATTACTATAGTATATCTGTGTAGCGCTTCTCAGTTTGCCTCTATTCACAGTTTTCTATGTAGAGGCCTCACGTATCACTTGTACATTTATTCCTAGATATTTGATATCTTATGCTCTAATAAATGCTAATTAAAAAAATTTTTTTTCAATTTTTATTTTAAGTGGGCTCCACACCCAGCATGGGGCTTGAACTCATGACCCTGAGACCAAGGAGTCACTCACTCTATCAACTAATCCAGCCAGGCGGCCCTAAATGCTATTTTTGAATAAATTTTATTTTTAGATTTGTCGCTGGTGTATAGCAATGTATGGACTTAAAATTTTTACCTTTGTATACAATTGTAATTCATCTGTGGACTTTAGATTTCTTTTGTACCTAATTACATAATCTGCACCTGAGGACAGTTTTATCTCCTCCCCTTCCAAATTATTATACCTTTTATTGCATCGAGCTGCATTGCATTTAGTAAGGCTAGGACTTTCACTGGCTGGAATCTCCACTACAGTGTTGACTAGAAGTGGTAATAGTTGGAAACATTCCAAAATTTTTCTATTAAGTATGATGTTACATGTTGCTAGATTTGGTTTGCTAATCGTTTAATTTAGATTTTTAAATCTAAGTTCATGAAAGAGAAAATTCTGTAATTTTTTTTCATAATGTCCTTGTCAGGCTTTCACTTTAAGGTTTTGCCAGATTCTGAAAGTAAACTGGAGAGTGTTTCCTCTTTCCTACTATCTGGAAGAGTTTTCATAAAACTGGCAGTATTCATTAGAATTCACCAGTGAAGCCTTCTAGCTAAAGTTATTTAGTTTTGTATTTTGTTTGTTTTGGAAAGGTTTTTAATTATAAATTCAATCTCTTCAATAACACTGTTCAGATATTCTATTTCTTCTTGTGTGCATCTTCGTTAGTTATGGTTTTCTAGGAATCTGTCCATTTCATCAGAATTTCAAATTTGTGGGAAAAAAAGTTGTTTTTACTATCCTTTTATGTTTTTGTGGTCTATAGCATATGTAGTGATGTCTCCTTTTTCATTCCTGATTCCTGATATTTATTATTCATGCCTTCTCTTTCTTCTTAAATTGGACTCTCTAACGTTTATCTATTTTTATTACTCTTTTCAGATAATTTGTTTTCATTATCATTTAGTTACCATGGGTTATTTCCAAATGTATAAGGATTGTTTTCTTTACTATGAGATAGTTTTGATTTCTAGCTGATTAAAAGACCTATTCTCAGTGATTTCTGCCATTTGAAAATCTTCACCGTTTGCTTCATTTTTTATAAATAGTTTTGTAAAAATACCACTGCGTGCTTAAGAAGATGTGTATTTCATAATTGTGGGGTATGCTGTTCTACATATTACCATTACGTCAATTTTGCTTATTGTGATCTTCAAATCTACATATTTACTGTTTGTCTGTTTGGTCTGTTACTAAAAGAAAGTATGCTAAAGTCATCCCCACTGGTTGTAGATTTGCCTGTTTCTCTTTCTAGTTCTGACAATTTCTGCTTTCTATATTTTGAGCCCATGTTACTTAATACATGCAAATTTGGACCTATTTTACCTTCCTGGTAAATTGAAAGTTTAAATTGAGTTTATCTCTTCATCTCTAGTAATGGTTATTACTTTAAAGCTATCCTTGACTGATATTAATGTAGCTACAATTTTCTTTTAGTTATTATTTGCACGATAAATAGTTTCCCATCCTTTTCAACTTTCTGTTTCTCAGTGTTTCACATTATTGACTTATAAATAGCACATAGTTTTATTTATTTAATCAGAGTTTACCAATCTTTGTCATTAAAGACACAGTGAAGACATTTACACTTATTGTAATTGAGTCTGAGTCTGTGTCAATCTTTAAAGGTTAAGTCTTTAAACAACAATTTTTCACATTCCAAAAATAGTTCTTTAACACCTATGATTATAAGAAATTTATCCTCTCTGATTTGTATATAAATGTGTAGGGATTTATGAAACCTTCTCATGTCCTATTATTTCTTTGACTGCTATATAATGAAAAGAGATCCAGGGACTAAAATACACTAAGAACAACATTTCTAATATAGTGTTTTGGGAATTTTGCCTGCAGCTCTTGTCTTTATTGTGATTTACCTAATTCCAATAACACAGCATTAACGATGTATCTCTTAATATATCTTTTTTACAAAATACTATAGAGATTTCATTCTTGATTACAGGGCTGTGACTCCCAAATGAGTGTGTCAGAAATGTCCTGTAGTGAAAGTACATCCTCATGTCAGTCTCTTGAACATGGCTCGGTTCCAGAAATTCTCATTGGCCTGCTTTATAATGCCACAACTGGAAGACTATCAGCAGAAGTGATAAAAGGCAGCCACTTCAAAAACTTGGCAGCAAACAGACCACCCAGTGAGTGAAAAAAAAATGTTTTAATGCTTATGTTTTCTGCACTTACAGGACTCTCAGTGTTAGGGGCCTCAATCCTATCATTTAGTCTTAACTGATCAAAATGAAATGGTATAATCATCAGCTAATCTGTTTCATGTTTTCTATTTCCAGTCATTTGGGAAGTAGAAAAATTTGAAATTCAAAATATTGTAAGGTGACAAGACTTTTAATTTTTCACAGTGTCTACTGAATAAATTATCCCTATCGTAGCCATTATCTTCCAATGCTAGAAAAAGTTACAGAGTTTTTTAAAGTTAGTAATATTCCACAGATATGGTCAAGCATATGTATGGCTGTTGGTGTCAACTGAAGAATGATGTGGTGTTTTCTGTCTGCATGCAGTACTATGAACTAATGTTAATAATTCTGTATTTTTTCTCTTTTCTCTGTTAAGATAATTTAAGAAGAAACTGTTTCTTCACACTTTTCCTCCTTTAATATTATAAATTTGTACTGCCAGCAAGTCTTCTTAAATGGCTTGGCTTTGCCTTTACCAGGACAAATAGAATAAGGAATAGTTTGATATTTCCCCTAGATGCAAGGAGAGGAAAACAAGATGGGGCACTGTGCCCGCTCTATATGCCTGTCACTCCTCCCTCCTTATCTCTCTTCCCGCTCATGGGGGTGGAGGCATCTTATGGGAGTGCAGAGAGATCGTCGCTCACTAGACCTCCAAAATCATTTGTCGATATCTGTAGGAATAAGTTGGGAACATAACAGCTTCTTTATACTTCTCTGAAATTAAAGCTGTTAGTGTCCTAAGCTAAAAAAGTTGAAAGGAAATCTTGAATAGTAATGGCCACCTTAAATTTACTTAAAGATTTCTCACAGACTTGCTTAAAGCCATCTTTTACTCAGAGTCTCAAATAATTATTGGAGGGGAAACTTTTTGCTCCCTTGAATTAAATTAATTCATTTACCTCCAGATGTCTTCAACATTGTCTTTTTAATTCAAGTGAAAAGTCACAAAAATATATTTGTTTTCCCTAAGTAATATTGGAAACCTTGCTTCTTACAGATACCATGGAATGTATCTATTCCTGAATTAAAAGTCAGAAGGCCAAAATTATGTGTGTTCTTCTACCCTTGGATGAGTAACCTAACTCCCCTAAGTCTGTTTCCTCGTATGTAAAATTGAGGTTGTGTCTGTCACAGGGTAACTGTGAGACTCAAATCAGATAAAGGTGCATAAAAGAAGGATGGAATTATTATTGTCCCCTTTCTCCTTTCAGAAGGAAGAATTCAGAGGGAGGAAAGAAGCAATTACTAGAATAAACAGCTTTGGAAGTGGGACCTGGGTTCTCTTTATGGATACATACTTAGAATGCAAACCCAAATGGCCTGGGAAGTAACTTAAATGAACAAACTTGGCAGGTGAAAGATAAGGAGCATGGGGAGTCAGTGACAAATGCAAGCGTGCATACCCTGCCTCGAGACATTCAGAGTCAAAACTTCTGAGCACTGTAACAGATAAACAAAATATTATGTGGGGTTACGTCCAGCCAGCAGCTCTCAGCTTGCCATTCCTGCTTTAGCTAACAGTTTGATTTTTTGACAAATATTTAGCTTGAGATGCTAAAAGCTAGCAGAATGGAATGATATGCCTGCCTTTCTGTCCTTGCTTGTATCCACTCTGATAGAAACAGAGAAACCAGAACTAAAATGAAGAGAGAGGGGTGGAGGCAGGGTGGATAATAAACAGGTTGAGAGATTAGCATCCACAACTTAGAGTAGGTGTTTTCAGGTTAAAGAGTAAGTTAGAGCAATTTCCATTATTTTAGAATTAGATCTTCAATATCAGGGTGGTTAATGGTGTTAGCTGGGAGGCAGCTAGTAGGTAAATATAAGTCAACATTAAAATTAATTGTATGTAAATAAAATCTTAAAAAAATAAAATTGTATGAAGTGGAGTATTTATACAGTAAAATATAATAGAGTTTTATCAGTCTGTCTTATACTGTATATGTTATATAAGATTGTGACTTTTTGTATATACCTAGTTCTAGGCCTTGAACTGTGTTATCAACTGAATAATCCAAAGAAACAATGGGAACATTCAAGAGCAAAACTTTTAATAGTCCTATTTTATTTTGTTTAAACTAATTTTTTTATATTACACTGAAAGTAATAGAAGTATTTGAAATATTTACTACTGCATGGATAGACTTCAAAACTTAGCATAGTAGTAGTCCTATAATGACTTTTATTCAGTCTTTTATATAGTCTGATAATTTGCATGATTCTATGTTCAATGTGCTTTAGACCAAGAGGATATCATTATAAAGATGTTCCCCCTTTAAAACAGTGTAATTTTCGTTTAAGATTACACAAGGACCTTAAAAATTCTCATTCCATGAAATTTACCCACAACCCTTTTGTTCAACCCCTCTACCTGAATTAAAATGCTAAAGTTTTGTGTTCTTCCAACTCCAGTGAACAGTGTTTCCTCTTTAATTCTAACCTTTGACCCTCTTTCACCCAACAATTGACATCTGGTCATTATTTCTTTTACTGCTTTCCACCCCCTGTTGTCAGATGGACTGTTCTGTTGTCTAAAACACTTGATAGGTGGACAGGTTTATATAATCCGAGGTGAGTTCCTGTAGAGGCTAATTGGATGTTGTCTTTTCATGCAAAAACAAAATACCCTAAAACTTGCCAGCAGTGAAGCTGTCCACCATGTTGGTTTCCAAAAAAATGCACATTTATTATCTGTGGTACTTTAAATAAAACTAACTTAGAATTTATCTCTGATTATGGATGATGGTATTCAGAGTATGTATAAAATAAGCAAAACTTTTTAAATTAAAGGTTTTATTTTTCATGTATTTTGATTCATACAATAGATATCTCATGAGAAATATTGCAATTTTCATTAAAATTAATTGAAATTTTGATATGAAGTACACATGATGGATCACCATGCTGAAGATCATTTGCATGAGTCTAAAGAACCTGAAAACACAGTTGTTTGAAGAGAGGGTTTATCTCGCAAATAATCAGGCAATGAACTGTTATGTTTCACTTTATACACTAAACATCACATCAATTTTTTTGTAATTCATGAAAACAATTAAGAATACCATACTTTAAATTTCACATTAAATTCTGCCAAAAAAAAGAATCCTGTACTATTTATTTTAACTATCCAAAAAGCACATTAAATGTACTCTTGCATGAAACCAGGAGAAAGTTTTACTTGATTTGCTAAACTTTGAGCCCTTAATGCATTTGGCTTCATTTTGGCCCTTTTAAATGTTTTAAAAATATATTTAAAAACCACATCCATGCAGAGATTTTTTTGACATTTCATCCTAAGCTGTTTTGATGTCATCTTTGCATTCTTGTCTTCTTTTTCTCTTTACCATTTGCCTTCATTTCTATTTGTTTGTTTATTCTTATTCTCTGAAAACACAGTGGAATGCTTTACAGTGTTGTGGCTAATTGAGCTTGCTAAGTGTTTATTAATGCTATGATGTCCTGCTTAGTGAAGCTAAATGGGGATGGGGTTGGGCAGGGGTGGTAATGGGAGGTCAAGGATTGGGGGTGGGAGGGTGGAGGAAGGATTATGAGGTATACCTTTAAATTCTAACTATGACGTAGAAGTAGTGAGGTTGAGATGTTATGACCCACAAAAGATTTGCATTCTCTGAACTTGTCACATTCTATAAGCATCAGCATCAAAATGGAATTCGTTGAATTTCCATTAAACATGGTATACACCATATCCTTATAAAGTATAAAGACTTCACGTTCTCAGCAAACGTCACAAAAAAGGTGTTTTGAGTTTGTTTCAAATGATATTTGTGGTATTTCTTTTTTTTTTTTTCTGTAGATACGTATGTTAAATTAACTCTACTGAATTCCATGGGTCAAGAGATGTCCAAATGCAAGACATCCATCCGCAGAGGGCAGCCTAATCCAGTATACAAGGAAACTTTTGTTTTTCAAGTGGCCCTATTTCAACTTTCTGATGTGACACTCATACTGTCTGTGTATAACAAACGCAGCATGAAAAGAAAAGAGATGATAGGCTGGATTTCTTTAGGTCTGAACAGCTCTGGAGAAGAGGAGCTCAATCACTGGACTGAAATGAAAGAGTCGAAAGGACAGCAAGTGTGTAGATGGCATGCGTTACTAGAGTCATGATGAATAGGGTAACCGAGCGATTACAATCCAAGGCAGCATTATCTCTGATTGCAGCATTACTGTTTTTACCTAGTCACCATTAGAAGAGCTGTTCTTTGAAGCATCATCCTCAACATTCTACCAGAATGCGTTAAGGTCTGCGGAAAGAGCGTATAATACTGACACAAATGAAGAAAAGATGTGTCTCTGGTAGAGCTTGGGAAATGAGACACTTCATCATTATTGTTAACAGTCCTCCAGAGCTTTAAGAACATACTTTTGGTTTGAAGTTAAGTTTACTTTAGCAAAAGAGCCAGTAATTTCATGGGAAAAAAAAATCAAAACTATAAGTGATTTTTTTAAATCTGAATTTTTAGTTGCAATGCTGTTTTAGGATCACCCTCAATGTAAACCAGGAAACACATAATATTTTGATTGGCTCATCCCTGGTGTTGGAAGTGTTCTTTAAGCTGAAAAGTAGGTCTCCAGCTCTATCATGAGGCATATCTAATGGTGAAGGATTTCAATTACATAGAAAATTGTTTTATTTCAGATATTTTCCCTTTGTGCACTTAGTTTCATTGTGCCTCAGTTCTTCTCAATAGCACTCAATCTCAAGTGCAAGCAAGTATTCATTTTCATAAAGGAATTTTTTTATATGTTATTTAAAAAAAAAAAAAACTCATTTCTTCATTTGCCTCTGCTTTTGCCTGATCCAAAGAGACCCAGTCACTGGACTGGTCCTTTGCAAGTCTTTTAGACAGGTTGTACTGTAGAACCACGTAACTTTCTGTTGAAAGCACTTCCTGTATTCTTGTATTCCAATGTAGGAAGCTAATAGAGCAGGACTTTACTTTAAAATACTTTCAACAATTGACTCTTTAAAATTGTAGTAATGTGAAAATACGTTTTTTACAAACTAAAAGAATAGTAGATAAGCTGTTGAATATTGAAAACAGTTCAAGTTAAATAAAATGTTAATTATCTGCTCTGAGAATGGAATGACCAACACTGCATAAAGCAGGTATAGTTCCAGTAAGAAACTGTTCTCTCTCTAAATCTTCTTCAGTCTTACTTCAATTTGTACTTGTGATCTAAAGACTCTCCAGTTCTCAGTTTGAATCAGAACATCATGTTAAAAACAGTTCTGAGATTCCTTATGAAATTTCTAGTGACCTGTGACTAGATTTTATGAAACTTACAGATACGTTCTTCAACGTGATGTCATCCTGTGCCTTTCATGTAAGTTACATTTGCTCATACAGCTTGAAAGTTGTATTTGCAAAATTAGGCCTTCAATTTTTATAAATGTAAAGATTCCTCAGAACAGTGTCACAAGATCTTTATTTCCTCTGAAGTATGTAAAAGTTGTATAATGTGCTAATTTTTTTAAATGGCAAGGCATTTTCATTTGTTGTTTTTATATTTAGGAACTCTTATTAATCAGGAATATTATAAGCTGTTTTCTTTTTAATTTTGCTTCTTACCCGGTATATAATTTATGCATATACTTTATTAAAATAGAATATGTTTTGTATATATGAAAAATAGATTCTTTCTTCTCTTTCTAATTTCTAATTAAACTAGACAAAAACATACTATTTACCAGTTACTAAAACGCAGCATACCATTGTTCTGAGTCCCAACTAAGCACTATATATTAGTGCTTGTTATTACACGAGGACTTGTTATTACCACAATAACAAAACCGTGCATAGACATTATTATTTCAGCTTGGCTCTACTGAAAGGCCTTAAAAGAAATCCAAAAAGACAGTGAACTCCTAATATTTTTTAGTTTAAAAAAATGGCAGCTCTATGCACTCATATACACGAATTATAAGATAAAATACAGATGCTATATTGGGTGACCTGAGATTTAAGAATGTATGTTACAGAGTTGGATTAAAGAGAAAACCCATTCTTCTATTGTTACACTAATGAGCTTTTTCCAGGGTTGTTGTTTTTTTTATAAATGAGTTAAGTTATAAAGTTAGAATCTGTATCAAATGGTGAAATATCTCATGTACATATTTTCAGCAACAGTATGGAAAGAGATTTGAAGGGAGGTTGTCGACCTTAGTGAGAAATTGGATTTAAGCATTTCACGCAACAAGGATCTTTTCTGGCTTTGAAACAACTGACTGCATTGCTAAGAACTGGGATCTTCCTAATGGAAAGAGTTAGTCTTATTCGTAGCTGTAACAAAGCCTAATCAATAATCGAACACATTATGAGACCAGTGTGGTGCTTTCTCCTTCAGTGATGAAAAGACCTAACTAGCTGTTATTTGCTAAATCTGGTTTTCTTCAGACTCTGCCCAGAACTATGTGTGTGCTTTGGTCTATCATTACGGGGTTATCTGGTAGAGATATCAAATCCAATATGGCTTACAATTTTAAAGGTTTTTTAAGAAGGACCCTACCTCCACCCCAGCTGCCAAGTCCTCAAAGATTATGAATTTATGTGTATGTGTATCTGTATACACACACACACACACACACACACACACACACGTAAGGGTGAAGGTGCCCTGGCTTTTTCAGATAACTAATCAGAGAAACATTTATCAAGTTTATGGATTATTTTTCTCCTCTGTATATTTACTAGAAATTATATTTGGTTTTGGGTGCTATTTACTACCATTCTCCTCCACACACAGGAAAATATGTATATTTTTATCTTGTGGATTGACACAACTTAGTGTAATTACTCCCCAAAATTTATCTATTCTTTTAGAAAAAGATTAAATAGGTCTCGAGAGACCCACTTCACTCTACTGAATCTAATGTAAAAGACAGTGCTACTGCTCTTTTGTGTGCTTAAATTTGCATGAAAGCGGAAAGGCAAAATCTTATATCTCAGCAGTTTGCAGCAAATAGGGGCCCACTGGTGGGCAGCAGATGCTGTCTCAGAAACTTGAGCAAGACAACGCACTTTCTTATTGTTCTCTTAAAGTCCCCTAAGTTTTATAATAAAATGAGATAGTCCAAATATGGCAATTGACTGGCATTCATGGGAGCTCCTGAGCCTGGAATTACAGGCTTTATCTGTCTCCCAAATGAGCTACAGAATGTAGTTGCTTATTACTGCCCAGGAAACAAAGGGTATTTCAAATCAGTAAAGAATTTGTTTAGTAGAATATCCTCCTACCTTTCAGAAGCTTTCTTCTATACTCTGTGTCTTCTGTACTGTCCACATTTTGTGTGAAATCCATTTATTTGTCTGTCTTCTTACTATGCATTCAGTGAATACTCCATAATGTATTTAGTGACAAAAATAATAAATTGGACCACAATTTAAAAAAAGAAAAGCCAGGGGCGCCTGGGTGGCTCAGTCGTTAAGTGTCTGCCTTCAGCTCAGGTCATGATCCCAGGGTCCTGGGATCGAGCCCCACATCGGGCTCCCTGCTCAGCAGGAAGCCTGCTTCTCCCTCTCCCACCCCCCCACTTGTGTTCCCTCTCTCGCTGTGTCTCTCTCTGTCAAATAAACAAAATCTTTAAAAATAAATAAATAAATAAATAAATAAAAAAAGAAAAGCCAGTAGGAAAATATGGAAGCTACCTTGATTAGTATACACATGTTTAAGTGTAGGGCCTGGGAAGGTGGTTTCATCCAGCCTAGTGCAGATAGATGCCCAGGGCTACATGTTAAATCATTTTCTTGATACCCTCATTATTTTCATTTACTTATCAGGTGAATCAGAAGCATAATCACTGATCGCAAGGGAAGACAGCATCCATAGCATAAGAGGTCATAGAATTGAGGGTGTTAAGATGAAGATGGAGACCAAATGAGATCACAGTTTTTCAAGTGAACTGAGAAGCTATTTGAAGGTATAAATTTCAGATGAAGTAAGAACAGTAGTCACCAACAAATTTTTTCCTGATATGAATAGAAATGACACAAATCCACTGGCCTAAAATTGCCATTCACCTAGATGGACTAGATGGCCAATTCATAGAGATTTTTCTCATCGATGGTCATTACATTATTTCACACTGATAGTTCTCATCCATCAGTTTTTATTTCTTGTCGTCTTCCGTTCACCACCCCCCGGCTCACCCATGGCCTGCCCTGGAGGTAGCCATCATCATCCCCACCAACCAAACTCAATATTGAGCAGACAGCTAAATATGCAATGAAACATTTTTTTAAATTAACTTTTAAAACATCATCTGTGCCCACCAAAATGTATAATGATGATGATGGTAACTGCTGTAATTTATTAAGGTCTAGCATAATAATTTATTATTTCTTTTGATTCTCACAACAATGCTATGAAGTAAAGAATATTTTCAAATTTTATAGATGAAACTACAGCATAGGGGTTAAGCAGACTTGCCCAAGGTCATCCAATAAGTAAGTAGTAGAAATGAGATTAGAACCCAGGTATAAATTACTCTAAAACCTATACTACACTCACTGCAATTGCATTCCCTCTTTACCAGTTGCAAGAAAAACAGTTAGGACAACATTATATTCATCAGTAATCCCATCCACCTAATGGAATGGCAGAACTAGAAAAAAAGAAGGAAAAATCAGAGCTTGGGAAAGAGAAACACAAGACAAAGAAGAAGATCAGAGATTTTTTTTCCCCCTCAGGATACAAATGGTACTTCTGTGTATATTTTGTAGATGACTTTTGATTTCCAGAGACTTGGAAACTAATTTACTCCACAAATTTAGCCTATACTTATATTCTGAAAATATGTTAATCAATTGGTTCTGCTCCTTATCTACTTTTGGGAATCCAAGATATTTTAATTGTATAGGATCGCCTTTCTATGAAGTAGATATCCTGTATCCTTAGCAGGTATCTTGCCCGTATCAGTGGTGAGAGAAATGACCCTTTCTTCCTCTGTGCTCTCATTGTAATTTATTTATGTTTCTTACATACCCTTTATTAAGGTATAACTGCATTACAGCTAATTTTATTACATGTCTTTCTTTCTTCCTTAATAGTAGTAAATGCCTTGTCTTACTATCTTTATGTGCCCCTTGCTCATAGTAGACATATAATAAATACTGAATCAAATGAAGTTTCCTATAAAGAAATCAATAATACTGTTATATAGGTCTCAGTTTTATGAATCTTATGTAATGCATGGATTTATTTATTCCTTTATTTTATATATAGATATTTGTAAGGGGACCTACTATGTGTCGTGTATTGTTCTAAGTGCTACAGATGCAGAGATCGTATATTAGAGAGACAAAGTCTTTCTGCTCTCATGGAGCTTGCATTCTAAGGTAGGAAGAGAGCCAAAGAATGATATGCATTTAGTAGAGTACAATGTGGGATCAGAACAATCTTCCTGGGGAAGTTTACCCTTGAGTTGGATCTTGAAGAACAAACACAAGGAATATATTCTCTCCAAGGGCAAAATTTGAAACAACTGTAGTATGTCCC